ACTACCTGATGAAGCTTTCATATCAATATAAAAAATGGGTTTGTTGTTCTTGAGCAGCAGATTTTTTTCCCATATATTAATTTGTAAAAATTTGATCCCCCATTGTGGCCCCACCCTACCCCTGGGGGCCCTCATTTGAACAAATTTCATTCTACACTACCCAAAGATGCCTCCATATCAATTGACTAATCATGGCTTTTCTGTTCTTGAGAAAAAGACTTTTCCCTATATATTCCTCTGTAAACTTTGATCACCCATTGTGGCCCCAACCTATCCCCAGGGTAATGATTTGAACAAATTTGAATCTTCACTACCTGAGGATGCTTCCATATAAATATGACCAATCATGGCTTTACTGTTTTTAAGAAGAAGATTTTAGAGATATTTTCCTATATAATTCTATGTAAAACTTTGATCCCCCATTGTGGCCCCACCCTACCCCCGGGGGTCATGATTTGAACAAACTTGAATCTACACTACCTGAGGATGCTTCCATATAAATATGACCAATCATGCCTTTGCTATTCTTAAGAAGAAGATTTTGAAAGATATTTTCCTTTATATTTCTATGTAAAACTTGGATCCCCCATTGTGGCCTCACCCTACCCCCGGGGGTCATGATTTGAACAAACTTGAATCTACACTACCTGAGGATGCTTCCATAAAAATATGACCAATCATGGCTTTGCTGTTCTTAAGAAGAAGATTTTTAAAGATATTTTCCTATATATTTCTATGTAAAACTTGGATCCCCCATTGTGGCCTCACCCTACCCCCGGGGGTCATGATTTGAACAAACTTGAATCTACACTACCTGAGGATGCTTCCATAAAAATATGACCAATCATGGCTTTACTGTTCTTAAGAAGAAGATTTTTAAAGATATTTTCCTATATATTTCTATGTAAAACTTGGATCTCCCATTGTGGCCCCACCCTACCCCCGGGGGTCATGATTTGAACAAACTTGAATCTACACTACCTGAGGATGCTTCCATAAAAATATGACCAATCATGGCTTTGCTGTTCTTAAGAAGAAGATTTTTAAAGATATTTTCCTATATATTTCTATGTAAAACTTGGATCCCCCATTGTGGCCCCACCCTACCCCCGGGGGTCATGATTTGAACAAACTTGAATCTACACTACCTGAGGATGCTTCCAAAAAAAAAAGATCAATCATGGCTTTGCTGTTCTTAAGAAGAAGATTTTTAAAGATATTTTCCTTTATATTTCTATGTAAAACTTGGATCCCCCATTGTGGCCCCAACCTACCCCCGGGGGTCATGATTTGAACAAACTTGAATCTACACTACCTGAGGATGCTTCCATAAAAAAATGGTCAATCATGGCTTTGCTGTTCTTAAGAAGAAGATTTTTAAAGATATTTTCCTATATATTTCTATGTAAAACTTGGATCCCCCATTGTGGCCCCAACCTACCCTCGGGGGTCATGATTTGAACAAACTTGAATTTACACTATCTGAGGATGCTTCCAAAAAAAAAAGATCAATCATGGCTTTGCTGTTCTTAAGAAGAAGATTTTTAAAGATATTTTCCTTTATATTTCTATGTAAAACTTGGATCCCCCATTGTGGCCTCACCCTACCCCCGGGGGTTATGATTTGAACAAACTTGAATCTACACTACCTGAGGATGCTTCCATAAAAATATGACCAATCATGGCTTTACTGTTCTTAAGAAGAAGATTTTTAAAGATATTTTCCTATATATTTCTATGTAAAACTTGGATCTCCCATTGTGGCCTCACCCTACCCCCGGGGGTTATGATTTGAACAAACTTGAATCTACACTACCTGAGGATGCTTCCATAAAAATATGACCAATCATGGCTTTGCTGTTCTTAAGAAGAAGATTTTTAAAGATATTTTCCTATATATTTCTATGTAAAACTTGGATCCCCCATTGTGGCCCCACCCTACCCCCGGGGGTCATGATTTGAACAAACTTGAATCTACACTACCTGAGGATGCTTCCAAAAAAAAAAGATCAATCATGGCTTTGCTGTTCTTAAGAAGAAGATTTTTAAAGATATTTTCCTTTATATTTCTATGTAAAACTTGGATCCCCCATTGTGGCCTCACCCTACCCCCGGGGGTTATGATTTGAACAAACTTGAATCTACACTACCTGAGGATGCTTCCATAAAAATATGACCAATCATGGCTTTACTGTTCTTAAGAAGAAGATTTTTAAAGATATTTTCCTATATATTTCTATGTAAAACTTGGATCTCCCATTGTGGCCCCACCCTACCCCCGGGGGTCATGATTTGAACAAACTTGAATCTACACTACCTGAGGATGCTTCCATATAAATATGACCAATCATGGCTTTACTGTTCTTAAGAAGAAGATTTTTAAAGAGATTTTCCTATATATTTCTATGTAAAACTTGGATCCCCCATTGTGGCCCCAACCTACCCCCGGGGGTCATGATTTGAACAAACTTGAATCTACATTACCTGAGGATGTTTCCATATAAGTTTCATCTTTCCTGGCCCAGTGGTTCTTGAGAAGAAGATTTTTAAATGATGCTATTATTTTTTCACTAATTCCTAATTATCTCCCCTTGAAAGAGGGCGTGGCCCTTCATTTGAACAAACTTGAATCCCCTTTACCCAAGGATGCTTTGTGGCAAGTTTGGTTGAATTTGGCCCAGTGGTACTTGAGAAGAAGATGAAAATGTGAAAAGTTTACAACAACGACAACGCCAACGACGACAGACAACGGACAAATTTTGATCAGAAAAGCTCACTTGAGCCTTTGGCTCAGGTGAGCTAAAAATTTTAAAGATAGCACTAATTTTGATGGTTTTATATATAGCCCCAACCCTCAGGCCCAGGGGGCAGGGACCATGAAATTCACAAATTTTGTTTCCCTTCACTCAAATATGCTGTATGCCAAAATTGGTTGAACTTGTTCAGGGGTTCCAGAGAAGAAGCTGAAAATGTTCAAATGTTAACGGACGACGCACATCACACGACGATGGATGAAAACAGATAGCAATCGATCAGCTGGGTGATTCAAGTGCCCAAATGAATAAAAATCTACAGTAAATGACACAATTTGTACTGAATTAAAGTATTCTAAACGTTATATTAGACCAAGATTAACTAATTGAATACAATACTTCCATTAATTTTCCTGTTAGTGAACAAAATTGATTTCTGTTTACAAATAGTTAATTGTCTTTGAACAGTCTTCCTGGAGAAATAAAGTAGGTACCTTATGTTGAAAAAGAACACTTTTAATGACATATTTTCCCCCAAAGTCCAAAAAGCATTTCTCATCCGTATTTAGAGCTTCCTTAAGCAGAAGAAAGTATAATTTGTCTAATTGAGCAATTTGGGGAACATTAGTCAGGGTCCTAAATGGAACGCATTCGCTTTGTCCCTTTAATAGAACGCTCCTATACTTGTAACGGCTGGTTTTCTAAAGAAGCAAAAAATTGTTGGAAAAATGAACTTCAAGAACAGATTTCAACCAAAAGAACTATTTTATACATACATGTATACTTCTTATGAGCAACCTTTAATAATTCGAACTGTGGTTTCCTCAAAGGTCACAGTTCAACTAAATTGTTAAACACTGGCATTAATAGGACAAATGCCTTATTTGATGAAAAGCAAGGTGAACACCTTTGCGTGGCCTTACCTTTGAAAGATAAAATAATTTCCAAACCTTTTCCAAACATACCAAACTTTTTTATTGCAGGCCTCTCCTAAAGGACATCTTGACCTAAAGATCTCTAAAAATGAGCCTAAATTTGATAAAACACCGGTCCCCTTCTACATTAGGTTCTTGTATCGGAATAAACCTTCAGAAAAATTGAAAAATTTTAAAGACCTTGGACTTTACAATACATGTATTTGAATCATTCCAAATTCTTGGACCCCCCCCCCTTTTTAAATGTTTCTAACGGCTTTTGAACACTGTTCCTCTAAAGACATCCCTTTCTCTGCATCAATAAAAAACTATATATTACGATCTCAAATACTCACACTCTTAGTATAAATATATTTTATTTTTTGAATTTACACCTTAAAAAAATCAACAATTTCATGTAAATAATATCACAGAGAAGCTAAAATACAAGTACGCTCTTGTTATTTGTACATCTACTGTAGTACATGTAATTTGTACACCTACTGTAGTACATGTAATTTGTACACCTACTGTAGAGAAGATGTTAGAGGAGAAAAACCGTCCCTACTTGTGCTACACGTGTGTACACCATGCCACCAAGATGCAATCTGTGTTATATTCTTGATATATCTGAACAAATATCCATTTTAATGTCATTGACATAAGTGTGGAATATTAAATTTTAACTGATATGTTACATGATATCTATTAAATTTTGTTTTGAGGGTTATGATATTGGTTATACACGCTGGTATTAGCAAGTTTCATGTGTTTCTGTTTGATAAAATAAATTCTTAAAATATGTAGCTTTGCTATTTTGCTTTTACGACTTATAAAAGACTTTATACAGTGAGTTTCATAGAGAAATGAAACTGTAAGACTGTCATAAAAAGTTTATATTCTTCTCAAAATGGAAGATCAATAGAACATTCGTTGCAGGGATTTTTGATAAAATTCACCCTAAAACTACGTACAAGAACAGTCGTCTAGATGTAGTGCAATGATCATTAAGGCATCTAGATTTATGTCCAACAAACCAATGACGAATTAGTTATGTCAAATGAAATTGCAAAAGCACTGTGAATTGGGATATTATACCTTCATCATGAGACTACAGCAGTAACTTATTGTATCGTCAACTTTGTACAGCACAGTAAACGACTCAAATGGAATGAACTACACTCATATGAAATAATCAAACAATTTGCGATGTTACAAAGATTCCTAGAAGTAATGTCCTGTGTAATTAAAGTAGTTATTCCTTTTGCAACGTCCGTATGAAAATGAGACATTATGTTTCTACCAAGTAGTTCTATATGGATCAGAATCTGTTGAATTCACGCCAGATGATGACTGTCCATGTGTATTTGAATTTGCCTTTTGCTGTCGGACTTTCCAAAGAATATATGTTAACCTGGATTTCCACTTTGACCATCTACAAACGAAAACAAGAGAAGAATGCACACCTTGAAAGAAAGTGTCTCATTCCTTCATCTCAATGAGCATAATATACATCTATCCAAAACCAGTTTCATCCTTCAAGCTGAACATGATTCGTAAAAGCAATGTGTCCGCCATTTTTGTTCGGATTCTCGCTATATCTGAGGACCCCTATATAAAGGGCATGACTTGGACACTGTTCAGTATAATCAGTCGACATCGGTGTAGACGGACGTATGCTATACACCACTAGGTAGCGACAAAAAATAACTGTAATACCTCGTCTAATGCAGGAAAGTAAGATACAAAAGAAACTTACAATTATAGTTGTACAGGTCAGTGCAGTATACAAACAAACACAGATACACGTAACTACAATAAAATGTAGACAAAGGTAATGCAAGATAACCAGCACGAACACGCGTCGCCATTCGACGCCAATAAAGCAGTCAGGTGTAACGAATGCGAAGAGTACCCCCTGGTGTTGATGTATCGTAGATATAATATCGAAAATGGCGTATGCCTATTTACGAGTCGTGTTCAGCTTTAAACAAAAGAGACACATCCAAGTCCCGTTTGCTTCTGGATTGGTGTGGTTAGACTGTTGTTCATTTAGATGTAGATGAGACGCCAACGTGAAAATTATAACAGAAAAAAAGATAACATATATAACTTTTAGGAGATACTATTATAATAGTATTTAAATTATATCTTTTTGCATCTATCTAAATTTTCGACATTTAGGTACTTACAGGATATGCACAAAAAAATTGATTTAAACTTATGGCATAATTTTATCTATTGACTTTAAATACAAGTGAAAACTTTACATATTATAACTGTTTGCAATCTACGACATTTGTCTTGCTGTACATCTATTATAACATATATATAAATCAGAAAATTACTATATACAAATACTATAGCCATACATCTACTTTTATGAGATGTACCGAGTATAGTACTGCATGAAAAACAAAATTAAACGTCAACAACACAACAGCAACTACAAACAAACTACATCATACATTCTATAGAATGAAATGGAACAAACATTTCAAAAGTATTAAGAGAAAGTTTTTGAAAGAATTTTATTATACATAATCGTTTTATATATTAAGAATTCAAATCAGATAAACAGGGGATATTAAGAATTCACACATTACAGTTTGCTTAAACAATCTAGACATTAAATGTCAAGAATTCTATTTACAAGTTGGAAAAAAGCATCTAGGTTTGAAGATTGCAAGAAACAAAATAATCAAAATGAACTGAGGAAGAAAGTAAAAGTACAGTTAATGGTCAAAAGTGGATTCATGCAACATTAAGTTTCACTACCTTTAAAGAAATTTTTATCAGGTGATCAATATTTACGAACATACTGTGACAACAATCATGTGACGGATTAAAAGGGGGATGTGAAACAAGAAAAGGTGGGCTGTAACTGGTAGGAAAAAAAACAATATGACATGCATACGTTTTTAAAACATATTTTAAAGAATGGAAAACTATTTATAAAGTTTAACAACAATTCGCTTTGAAAGAATATTGAAAAAGGGGAATGAATATTTTCATAATACAATATTGTAACGCAATACAACATCAATGGTATTCAGTGAACGGTAAATTAAATAAGATATACCTTCGCTGTGGGAAAGAAGACAATAAATTTTAATTAAAAAAATAATTATATACACGATGACTGACTTTCCTGAAAATATTTTAGCAACACCGGCACATCCCTCGATACTTTATCCCTCTGTCAAACAAGTCCACTTTTGAGAGATAAACAAAGATATTAAACGATAACCAAGGAATCTACTTAATTTATAGATTTAATTATTTTTGCAAGGTAAACCTCTAGTCCCCAATATTAATGTCTTGTATTACTTCTTCTGCTGCTTACAAAAACATTGCTTAATTTTATTGGCAATACAACTTTATAGTTGAAAAAATAAAGCTTTAAATTCTAAATTAATCATATAAAATAATTCTAAAATTATATATATATATATATATATATCCTTGTTTTATGAAACGCATCAATTTTGTTTAAAAGTTGCAAGTGTATTATTTTTTCTATATTTTTAATAATACATGTTCACTGATATCAATTACAATTATTCCTTATTCTTAGACTAATTTTGGGGTCACCTACCTGTATGCATTTGCTACGCTCCATTTATTAACATCGTCCGCATTTCCTCGACCTTTTACGAAATTTTTTCCAAGTGGTTTTTTCACTAAAGGTTCAAGTGCGGTTCTTAAAATTGCAATTTCATCTTGTAATTTTTGAATTTCCTCCTGGCGCTAAATTCAAGGAAACAAGTGAAGACAAGATTTGATTAGAAACACCACCAAACACTTTGTTGTACATGCTTTAGAATTGGGAAAAAGAAATGTTAGAAAACTTGGTTAGTTTTGTTAAAATCTGAAAAGTGAAAAAGAATGATTAAGTTGGCTAGCAATATGCTAAGGACTGACTCTTTCAAAGAGTTTAAGGATTGAAATGAAAAGCATCACTAACTTATAATGGGCAAAATAAGCATTAGATTAACAAAAACTCTTTAATATATCATTCCTTGGAATAAAAAAAGAAAAGTTAAACTAAACCCCCTTTTTAGGAAAAGCAGTTAGCATGCACAGCATCAACAGACTACAAGATTTATAGGCCTGGTTAATATTTGGTGAGTGGTAACATGCATTGGGGTTATTAGCACTATAGCCTCCTCCTGCAGAACCCAACACTACATGCCATAACATACCACTACAACAGTCTATACATCTGCTAAACTATTGGTTGTCTGGTCTCCATTTTGTGTTGCTTGGTTCCCATCTTGGTTATTGGCCTGGTTTCCATCCCGGTTAGTATTGCTACCATCTTTACCAGTAGATGGAGCTGGACTCTTCTTTCGATTTGTGTTAGGTGTAACATTTCTAGAGTGTTGTGTTGGTGTGTTATTTCGTGATTGAGTGGGGGTGACATTCCTACTCTTAGAAGGTGTTACTGTTCGGCTATTGGTTGGAGTTTTTGTCTTACCCCCTCTGCTGGGAGAGACTGGGGTCTTTCTACTGGTTTCCCCACCTTCAGGAATTGTCCCCATTTGTGTGTTGCTGTCTTTTCCATCACCCCGAGATGTAGTTGGGTGTTGGTCTGCACTAGAACTAGGGTTTTTACTAGAGCTAGTATTGGGTGTGGGGTCATCCCATGACCCTAAGCCAGTGTCAAGGTCATTTTCTTGACGATAATCTGGCTGACCAGTATAAATGTTGCCCATGCCAACATTTGCTTTGAGTTGATTCACTTGAACCTGCAGGTTCTCTAATCCTGATACCCTCTGTAAAGCACAATATACAAAAGCTGTGACAACATCAAATCTATCTAAAGGTGCACAAAATATTCAAATCATGCATTTAAGGATTTTGCCTTATGATTTCATTCATATATTCAAAGAAGATTTTAATGTATCGTAAATACTTTTGCTCTGTTTAAAAGCTAATATGCTGCAATAGGACTTCCTAGATTTTGCAATTTATGCAGCATTGCCTTTTGTGAAGAATTTCTTGGGTCTTTTCCTTACTATAAAATATGAAGGAAAAAATAGCTTATTTGATTTTTAGGACAGAACATTTTTTTGAATGACTTAATTATTAAAATAAAGATATGTTTTATGGTATGCCAAAAATGAATGAGTGCAAAAACACTAACTACTAAAAAGCAGAATAATTTTATTTCAGTTTTTAGTTTGCTTTGATATATGTAGGCTTGCTTTCTGAAATCGTTATTTTCTGTGCACTGATATTATTGGTGCTAAAAATCAGACAAAAATTTTTAATTAAGTTGGCAATATTTCCTCTTAAACAAAATTTCTAAAAAGAAAAAAAATCAAAAACAAAAACAAACTGAAAACAGTAATCTTTGATGCTTTGAAAACTTAAAACATTTACCACACAACAAATACTGAGGTTCATCTAAACACTTAAACAGTTCATGGTTTAAACAAATTATTCAAAGAACATTAATATAATTAACATGATTAATATGAGCAATTTAAGATATTCTTTTAATACATGTTTGCAATTTCTTCCTTATAACTCAATAAACTTTATGAAAATGTTAACATTAACTTTGTCTAATAATTTTTGTATAAACAATATTTTTTTAGATATTTTTCCAAAGTACAGGTGTAATCATATAAAATTTCATGTAACATCAATGACATTATAACAGGGGACTGTCCATGCCTGTGTGGACTGTATATTTAAATAATGGAGATAAAGAGATAGAGAGAACCTACCAGTTTCTGTTCTGACTGTATCTTCATTCCTAGCACAGTCTTTACTGTTTGTATGGAGTCTGCCAACTTACGAACACTGCCCTGTACCTAGATATCAATGGAAAATAGGTATAAAAATAATGAACTGAAACTATCTTCTAGTATAAACCTTTTTCTGTAATATGAATTAAAAAAATATTTTAAAAGACTTTTCATATGTTTTGTATTAATCTGATTTCCTAGATTAATTTATACTACTCGTGTTACGTTTCCATTATTGACATATTCTGATTTATCTATAATTATACCTCACTAATATATTTATCTACCAGTATAAAAATCAATCAAGTTTTGCAATATAATAAAAATGTGGTGGAAAAAAAACACAGTAATAGAGACTTCAACTTATAAATGAAAATATAAACAAGGCAAAGTAAAACTCGGTTACAGCAAAGTCCTGGGGGTCTTTGAATTTACTTTGCTATACCCTTATTTCATTATATCCATATAATGAATTTGTTAAAGTATATATAGTAAATTCACAACATATTTTTTTTCTTCAATTATGTCTATTAAATGTGTTTTGGGAAGTATTCAAAAGTTCAAAAAATTTTGGATGAATTGAATTTCAAATATAAATACTCACCAAAAAAAAAAAATATCAGATCAATATTTTAAAGTTGAGATCATTGAAAATTCATTACAAAGAAGTCAATTTTGTAATTTTTATCCTGTAGGCGACATAAATCAGTTCATTATATCCATAAATTAGCTACTGGGTATATCCGAGTTCAATGTATCTGAAAATTTTTTCCAAGAATTCTTAAGAATTTTGTTGGGGATTCCAATACACTTCGCTGTATCCCTAAATTCATTATATATGTGTTTGCATGTACTAAATGAGTTTTACTATGGTATATGAATTTTTAAGTATTTCAAGAGTCTGTAAATCATCTAAAACACTCTATCCTGAATCAAAAAAAAAAAAAACCAAACAGAAAAATCAACAACAAAAAATAAATATTCATTCCTTTAAACAGAAGTTATCAAAGATTATGAAGCTCACCTGGACGAATATTACATGTACATGTAACTAGAATTAAGTTAAAGTCTTGCCAAATGAATGTTTTGGTAGTGTGCATTGCTAGATGCATCTTCTATACAAGTTTGGTCACCACAGGGCTTACAGATATACTTGAGAATGGAATTGCTCTAAAAACATTCATCTGGTCACTCATCTGAAAATGTAGGTCAGATTCAGCATCCGAAGCAAGTCTGGTAGTGTGTATCTCTACATGCATCCATGCAAGTTTGTTCACAATTAGGCCTATAGTTACTTGGGAATGGACTTGTTCTTCAAACTTTAACTTGGATGCCAACACTAACACCAATGTAGGGAGTATAGCAATGGTTATTGATACACTTCATCCAGGTGAGCTAAAAAGGTAAACTCTTTCTATTTAAAGACACTTTGAGAGACAAACCCTAGGATCATCTGAAGCTGCAGCCGTGAGCTAAATTTTCAAATAAAATTAAAATCTTTACTCAGTCATCATTTATTTTACACTGATATCGTACTATGTGCATTCCCTGATTTCTGCTGTGGGAAGAGTAGGTCTAGTGGATAAATAGGACATGCTGTTCTTTTTAAAGTTATTTCACATACTATAACAAGGGAACTGGTTGGAAAAGTCAAAAACAGACAATATTTAGGAATATCAACAAGAATTAAAATATGGGTATACACCAAACACAACATGTAAACAGGATTTCATCGATCACATACATGTAGCACTAAAAACAAAAATTTTATAGTAGCATGCTAGAATTTTGTTGATTGAATGACCTGTCTTGGATAACACTGCTTGTGATATTGAATATAGTGGTTTTGATTGTATCTTCTAATTCCAACAAAAAATAATCAATAAATTCAGAAGATTAAGGTCAAAAAGGAAAAAAAAATACCGGTAAACTGGATTATTAAGGTATTTGTGCTAAGAAGCATATGTCTATGAGGTTTGAGGATGCAGCAGTTTTTATATGGTTACAAAAAGTAAACAAATGTATGGTCCAGAACAAACAAAAGTCTGTTAAAAGCAAGAGTTAATGATAAAATGCATCTGTGTCTGAAAATTTATCTATGTATCATATAAAACAATGTGAGGTCAAGATTATCAAATGTTAACTGGGGTGAAATATTCAAACCAGGCTCAATCTGTACATAAAGATTATTGGAGGTACCTTTCTAAATTTCTTAGTACTTGGGTGTGACATGGGATGTACTAAAGCACCTAAACAATCTATAGGGCATGCATAAAAAAGGTCACTTTTACTTTTACATAGAAGATAAATCGGTGGGATGTTGTAACAACATTTTCTTAACAACACTGATATTGGCTAGTAACAACATTTATACGTACATTATCCAGGTCAGATTTGGTGGCAGGAAGTGGATCGTGCCTCTCTTTCAAGCTCTGAAGCTCTGCCTTCAGATGTTCAATCTCCTTTGTTCTGAATCAATATGATGTACATACATGTACAACATTTGAAGAACAGCAACAAAACAGCATTACAATTCATTATTAAAATTTTGCTTTTGTTTTTGAAAAAGCAAAAAAAATTAAATCTTTTAACTTTGAAGAATTTTTTTATATACATGCATGTACAACTGGTAAATTAAGGTTAAAAAATTTAATACATAGAGACTTGAGACTGAGAAAGTAGTACTTCGTAGATTGTTCTATTAAATGTTGTAGTTTTACATCTATAAGGAGTACTAACTAGTACTCTGTACTACGTACATCATCATCATAGTACGAGGAGGTACTTACCTGGCTTCAGACTCAGCAGTAAATCGACTGGTCATGTCCGTCTTCATAAGTGTCTGCTTTTCTTGAAGAGCATACAGCTACATACAGAAAAATCAAAGTCAAATGAATACTTTGAATTCTGGGAAGTATATTATATACCACAATAGAATAATAGTCTGTTTTGTTAGTAAATTTTCATACATCTGGTATTCATGCTTGAAAGCTGACAATTTAACAGACTTTTTGTAGTGGGCTTTTGATATACTGTAAAAGCAGAAATATTCGTTAAGGACTTAATTTTGTTTATTTCATTGTTAACAATTAGCAACAAAATTAAATCCCACACAAAATTTTTATATGCCTATATATTGAATAGGGTTACTTTCAAAACAACAAAATTTAATGCCCATGAAACTTTTCTAGATGACTATTCAATGAAATTTTATCCCCAGGAAAATTTGTGCATCTACAGTTAAGAACACTACTGCTAATGACTAACCTCCTCCGGTAGCTTATTGACGTTAGTGGACAGCTCTTTAATGGTCTGTTGTGTGGTGTCCTGCCAAATTGAGATGGCGTCCACCTTTTCTCTAAGGTTCTGAGACAAGACTGCAGTAGCCTGAAACACATACAATAATAATGTCAAAACAAACTTATGCTATATGAACTTTTTGTAAGAATTAGTTTTTAGTTTATTTCAACCTAAAGAACATTATAAAACAGTGAAAAGAGTATATCTGAAATCTGCCATTGAAAAGTATTTTCAATAATATATTATGAACAAGCATTAAGATTGGTGCCCACTAATGATTTATTCTAGTATCTTATTTGTCAGCATGTGGATTTCAGCAATAAAATTGCATATACAAAATACTTAAAAAACTCACACAATTTCAGTTGTGCAGAAAAGCTATGTGGACTGCCTTATATACATGTGTAGATTTAACAAATATGTCCTAAGCAATTAAATTTGAACATTAAAAAGCTGATCCTAAAACCTATGTGCAGTAAGCATTTCTTTTTCTCCCCCCCCCCCCCCCTCCCTCCCAACTGTGCAAATTAATATTATTTTAAGCAACTTCTATTAAACTTTGTCAATAATCTACTGGCAACTCCAATGCAAATTTTACACACTGATTTGCCCATCATATCAAATACACTAATGGACAGAATTACAAATATTTTCAATATTACACGCATATATAATTCTAAAACATTAATTCCTTTTTGTTGGGCATACCTCCATTTGTTCTTTTTCCTTGCAGCATACAAAAATATTGTGTAAAATGTTAGTAAGATATATATGTATATATACAGTAGTGACAATTTAAGGTCACGCATCTAGGAATTTAATACTATTATTGTTCTATAGTTCTTATACCTCTGGTGAAGTGGCTCTATATTGACTCTGTTTACAAAATAGATTGAACAATAAGTTATTCTGTTTCACATTTTCCTTTCATAAATTATAGCGATACAATTCAAATGAGGAGTCAAGAGACACTGCATGGTTAAACCATCCTCACAATGTCAAGGTTTTGTGATTTCAGAACTCCACACGAACCCTAGTGTGGAGTTCCGAAATCACAAAACCTTGACATTGTGAGGATGTCATTAAATATGAGGAAATAATTGGAACTTCATGAAATTGTTTATTTTGTATATATTTAAAGAAATAAATTTTGCTTTGCAAATGATATTCCTTTCACAAACCAGCCCCTAAAATTGCTACTTACATGAACGCATGAATATCACTTTCAACAAAATAAGAGTGCATGATCTCCCTTGAAATATATTGTTTATCAGAATCATTGTGCTCACAATTATTTTTACCCCTTGTGATCAAAATGTGTATGATATATAAAACCCTCTGTTATCCCAAACTAAATAAACATTTTATCCCTCTGTGCTTCAAGTACAACTCACACTTTAAAATCCTCTGCCGCCTGAAGCAATATAATTTTAAGTTGAACTAATATAGGCATGGTCAAGTTTTCACAAATATACTTACTATATTTCGTTTATTTGATGACTTGATGTGAAACTAAAAATGTTCAATTCTACATTTCTCTACAGTGCAGAAGGGTTTTATTTTAAATAAGAAAAGAAGATAAACAATAATTCATACATCAGTCAAAGATTTTTATCGCTAAGTTTCAGAATTAAAAAAAAAACCTTGAAATTATAATTTAAAAAAAAAAAGGAAATGCATCATCTATTTCTAAGTTATTTCACGCAACTTTTACCTCTTTGTTTTCATGTTTTTTAATAATCTGTAGAAATTTGATTAAAGCTTTTAAAATATGTTACATGTACAAAAAGCTTCCAAGATTATTTGTCAGCCCACATACTAACATTGACTGAAGAAATCTACAGATAAAGTTACTCTCTTAAGGGATAAGTCAAACATCTATTTATCATAAAAATATGTACTATGATGGAAAATTAATTCTTAAAAAGTTAAACAACTGCAAATATCTAATCAGGAGAGTGTCTTATAAAAAATTCTAAAATATTCAATGTGAATCTAACATATGTACAATGTCTCATTTGGATGAAAAGATTCAGTTAAATACAACAGCTGATTGAGAAATAGGACTGAAGCAATTTAGTAGTGTATTAGTGAAATAACATTTATCATTAGCTAGAACATTCATTACAACACAGGGAAGAGATCATTACCGAATTATCTTTAGGCTGTTTGAATCATCAAACAAAATAAAATGAAATTAATTCAGAGGTCCAAAAAAAATTCACAAGTAGGTAATATCTTTGTTTCAATGAAGTTTTTTATACTGGAAGGAAATTTTATCAGTACATAGAAGATTATGCTTAGATAACAGATTCAGTATAAGAAAATTAAAGAAAATTTCATGCATTAATTTTAATTAGTAACTCATTTTTTTTATACCATCACTGAAAATAACAGACCACTTATAGACCAATTAACAGTGTTACTAAAGTGACATGAAATAAAGTTGATTGATACATACAGACGCAACACGTGACTCCAGCTTCTCCTCAAAATCATTCATGCGTGTCTTCATGTAGCCCATCCTGGCATCCAGGTCAGTCATAGCCCTTGTACTGGCCTCCTTTTGCTCCAACATTAATGTTCGCATCTCTCTCTTCAACTAATTAAAATTAACACAGAATTTTTACAATGGAAGTAATCAAAATTTACAACATCAAGGGACTAAACTCTTCCTCAAACAATTTCTAAACAGATGTTTAGTTACAATACTTAACAACTTCAGTCTTTTCTTTAAAACCTTTTTTGTATTCCAAAAAAACTACACAAGAATTTTAGCCCTGGCCTGAAATATTTTGCAAAAATATATATAATGCAGCAGATCTAATTCATCTAAAGACTTATATCAAGCAAAGGAAACATTCTTCATTTTTCTGAATTTGCTGGAAAAAAAACATTTGACAGGTACTCTTATCCATTAATTACCTTTTCACTCTGGCTAGCCATGGTCTGAGTGATCCCCCCGATTGACTGCTGGAGGGATGAGGTAGCTATCTGTAACTTCTCATTGACACTGGCTAACTTCTCCATGGTACTTGCCTCATGTAGCTTCCTACAAAACCACAGAATTTCTTCTCACTATAAATCTTCATATTTCCCAAAATGGTCTCCCTTTCAGCACTGTCATCAATACTTTTCCCCAAAATATTTCAGAAACCAAATTGCCAAATACTGTTAACCCTCATTTCTAACTTGATGGGATTGAAAAAATTAAACTTCAAGATATCTGAGGATTCGAGATATCAGGGGTAAAATACTTAGAGAATAAGTGATTGGGACTTCCAAATCACTTCGACATATCCATGGTATTTGAGATATCAAAGTTTGAGATATCGAAGTTTAACTGTATCTTGTTAGCTTTAATATGTTGATAGATAAACCAAGAATTCCTACCTCTGACTAATTTCAGCACCCATCACTTTCTCAAACTGTTTCCTGTTCTCTACAGCTTGCTTTTCTACTATTGAAATGGACTCATCTAATTTTGAAATTGTTTCTTTTGTTTTGGCTTTCTCGTGCTAAAGAATAATAAATCAACACCTAGTTATACATGAGATTGATAACATAAGAGCCTATCACACAGATCAGAAAACACAGTAAAATGTATTGCTGTACGTTAGCTAAGATCCCCCAAGTTTTCAGATAAGACAAATTCACTGATTAATTTTTAGACAAACTAGGCCATAAAATGACAGCAAAATTTGTCGTATTTCTTATGCAATCATTTCAAAACTAAACTGCTACATTCTTGTCTTTAAGTACCTTGAACTGCTCTTTGATGTCTAGGTTGAGTTCCTCCGTGGCGTGTTTGAGGGTGAGGAATTTCCGATCGATGTCCTCCCTCAATGCTCGTTCAGAGTCCCTCCTGTTCTGTTGTTCTTGCTGAGTTAGCTGTCAGATGTAACAATGAAAATACATACAATCCTCAAAATTTAGAAAGAAAACGAAATTCAGTGACAAAGATGTAATACATGTAATTGATTTATGATAGCAAACACAAATTATCAATCTATTATTCATTGAATTTTACCAAATGATACTGTGTATACAGTTGTACAAATGTATCTACATGTTTTTTTCACGTAAAATGAGCCTTGAAAGTTTATTTTTTAATATGCCATCCCTTCTCTATTCTTCAGCTGATTTAAGTTCCAAGAATTCCTTTAATCAACAATATTCCCAGACATCCCCATATCCAGGGAAGTTTGAAAATGTCCCTTATCTTTGCCTAAATTTCCACTACCCCTCCTTAATTTTCCCTACCCTCTCCTTAACTTACCCTACCCTCTCCTTAACTTTCCTCTACCCTCTCCTAACTTTTCCCTACCCTCTCCTGAACTACCCCTACCCTCTCCTTAACTTTCCTCTACCCTCTCCTAACTTTTCCCTATCCTCTCCTAAACATTCCCCTACCCTCTCCTTAACTTTCCTCTACCCTCTCCTAACTTTCCCCTACCCTCTCCTAAACTTACCCTACCCTCTCCTAAACTTTCCCCTACCCTCTCCCTATTATTCCCCTACCCTCTCCTAAACTTCCCATACCCTCTCCTAAACTTTGCTCTACCTTCTCCTAATCTTCCCCTACCCTCTCCTTAACTTTCCTCTACCCTCTCCTAACTTTTCCCTACCCTCTCCTAAACTTCCCCTACCCTCTCTAGCTGTAGGTATCTTTCTTGCATCTCCTCCCTCAGTTTGATTTCCTTGGATAGGAGTTTTTTGTTGACATCCTCTACAGTATCAGCCACTTTCGATGTCAGATTGAGTTTTTCAGCCTGATTGATGTGGTCTTTTTCTCTCAGTAAAATGTCCATTGCATGAATGCCCTCTTCTCTTCTTCTATTTGCTTCACTCAGAGCTTGTTGTAATTCATAAATTCTATAAAATAGAAAATTGCTCTGTCAAGGGGAATCACTCTTAGTTTACTAAAGCCCTTACCTTTTTATATAAGTAATCCATTGATTTCTACTAATTATTTCTATTGACTGAAAAAAATGACAGTTAAGTGCTTGTTTACTTTTAATATTTTATTTTATATGTTGACCTACTTTTTTGACATTTGTTGCTCCAGGTTCCTTCTCTCTGTGAGTTCAGACTCCTGTTTAGCTCTCACATCCACCAAGACATCTCGGAGTTCTGATAATCTACACAAACAATTCACATAGTAATAATATAATAAAGCTTTTGTAATGCTACTACGGTACTTTAAAGATATGTTATTCTACTTTCACATAACTCATTTTCTATTAATAAAAAGAATTGTTCTCAAGTGAATAAACAATTTAATTCCTCAAAAGCCATATACCATATGCAGAGTCAAGAGAAAATCTGACATAACAAGATTCAGTGGGTGTTATAAAGATATATATTCATGAATATACTGTAATCATAATGTTTCTTTTTTTTTTAACATATATATGATCCTCTTTAATGAATGTTTTATTGTAAATGATGGCAAGTTAAGTTTTGTACTGTAATCTGTCTAATGCTTTGCCCAGACTCTGAGAGGACATTATGTTTACCTAGTTTCCACCTGGCCCTTGAGTTGTGTTGTCTGTTGGTCTGACTGTGATTGGATGGTGGATGTTTTCTGAATGTTTTATTGTAAATGATGGCAAGCTAAGTTTTGTACTGTAATCTGTCTAATGCTTTGCCCAGACTCTGAGAGGACATTATGTTTACCTGGTTTCCACCTGGCCCTTGAGTTGTGTTGTCTGTTGGTCTGACTGTGATTGGATGGTGGATGTTTTCCTGAGGGCCTCCAGCTAAAATATCAAACAAATTATAAAGTCTTAAATGTTTCCATTTAAGTTTAGATTTGAATTAAAATCTTATATACAACACAGAGGAAACAAAAACACTTATTAACTAAGTTAACAATTAATTTAAAATTTTCTTAAATGTAAAAAATCTGTAAGCTAGAAGATTGATCAGTTTCTTATTGATTGATAGATGTATTGAGAAATTACTGTCCAAACTAACTATAACTTTTACCAATATAAGCAAATAAATGTGATGGCAATACATTATTTGGTATCTATGTTGTTAACTTAATTCAGCAACCTGAAAGTGAAGGAAAACAAAATCAAAACAGTCTGCATCAGAACCCCGAAAGCTAAGGTGTCACAATAAAAAAGGTATACAATGAAAGCTGTGAATATCGCCTTATCACATCAATACTGGATAAAAACAAACTTAAAATCATTTCCAAAATCAAATACATACCCCCTGGATAATTTCATAAAAGCCCCTAAATCCTTACAAGTGAAAGCATTATGTGCATGCATTCTCATAAATAATATTGACCTAACTGAAATATTACATTATACCAAAGTTGAACTCACTTTCTGTTAAAAAGAAATGAAGATCAAAACAATTTCGGGATATTCTGATGCTTACTTGGTATTTTTGATGCTTTAGTTATCAATTATCAAAGAAAATCATCATTAAGTAAAAATTAAAAAAAATACAGTATACAGAAAAAAGGAGCTTTAAAAGCATTATGCTATTTTTCTACAATACTAATTCTACAATTCTTAATCAAATGAGAAATCTAGAGGTAGATTTATTTCTGCATACAGTCTTATTTTGCTAATTTCATTGCTGAATAAAATAAATGCACTGCTGTAATAATGAAATTATTTATTATGATGAATGATCAATGGATAAGAATACCAAATGCAGAATGAAGCGAAAATGTATTTTTTTTTTCAAAATTGCGACTATAACTATAACTATAGATCTGGTAATAAAAAAAAACAATTAAAACTCTACACAAGTACAAACACTATAGCTATTTAGTTATAAAATACTGATTTAAAATTAATTTAGATTCTTTTTAAAAGTCTATCAATGGAATACTCTGTATAATGATGATGAATGTTGAAAAAAAAACATAGATCTGATCCAACAAATTAAAAAAAAAGGTGATTCAGAAGCATAAGGGAGACAACTTGTGTCTGACTCTTTTTTACTACAATATAATGAATTACCTCCTCTGCCTGTGTGCATTCAATTTTATCAAATACAAAGATTAATTCAGGAAATCACAGTATTAAAACTGTAAACTTTTTTAGTATCAGTGTTCTTGCCATCTGCAGATTTAGTTAAAGGCATATAATGACAATAGCTGGGATTTAATTTTTTTTTTTAAATAGGCAGCCTTCAAATTGTAGCAGTGATCAATGCACCCAATTTTCCATTTATTTGGCTTTTCATGTTTATTTTATGGTTTCATTTTTGTGACCGCAAAACCATGAAGCTATAAGACCCGGAACATTAACTGGCAAAATTGGAAATATGTAGCTTACGTCATTTCCATCTGTTACAATCAAAACATTTAATGATAGACGATGGAATGGGCAGGTACAATTCGGCACGGACGTCTGAGAAAACATTGGATTGAAATTCTAGTTTGAAAATCATTTTCAATCCACCTCAGCTACTCTAGAAGGCATTGAGTTACTGATTGACCCAGAAGACAAATAATTTCCATTTCTGTATATTTTGAAGTTATATAAATCAGATTTTCTGACCAGTGTTTTTAAAGAAACAGAAAGGGACACATATTGATTTCCATTAGGTATGTACATGCATGTGTTGGGAGTTGGGGGGGGGGGGGGGGGGGAGGGGGCTGAACGATATAAAAAGGAAAGCTTTTTTTTAGTTTGGACAACCCCTCCCTTTTTTATTGTCAAACATTTTTCAGTGAAGACAAAACTAAAGAAAAAACCTCTTGTCATCGTAGAAATAAATATATTTTGTCATATGAAGGCATGATCTGACTCGACAATTTTTTAACCCCCCCCCCTTTCTAGAATCAAATAGCCATCCCCTGAAAAATAATCTCTGTCTTCTATGACTTTTACATGTCCTTAAAATTATAATTTAAAAACTCATATAAACAATGTTAAATATGAATTTCAAACAACATGTATTTGGGAATTGAAATTATTTGTCTTATGGATCATACATTCACACTCTGCGTTTGAAAACAGCACAGGTGGATTGAAAATGAATTTTAAACTAGAATTTCAATCCAATGTTTTCTTGGACATCCATGCTGAATTGTACCCGCCCATTTCATTGTCTATCATTAAATGTTTTGACTGTCACAGATGGAGAAGACGTAAGCTGTATATTTCCAATTTTGCCAGTTAATGTTCCGCGGTCTTACATGTAGTGTAAAAAAAAAAAAAAGATTTACTACACATTTGTATGGTACAAAAGTTTTAGAACATTTAAAAAAAACATTTTTTATGCTCAATTTATTAATTATCAGTAACTAAACTTCAAGATCAGCATTATAAGTAAAAGTATTACATGTAGTGGAGTTTCTGTGTACCAGTAACACAGCTTTATACACAAACTACATAATACTGGTAACAGGTTACATGTGGGGCTGATGTCAAGTTTACTTTCAAAGTAAAAAAAAAGGTATACATAATTTTGGGGATAAGTCACTAACTCATATTATTAGATATATTTGATTGAAGTTCATATGTATGACTATAGTCAATAAAACATACCCTAGCTTTCAGCTTTTCCTACACAAATGAAATTATAAACTGAATGTGCAAAATTTCATGAAAAACTGAAAATTTTCTTTGTTGGTGCAATTGTGTGAAAAAAAAATTATGGTGTTTCTTTCTTTCTTAATTTTATAAATAATTTTTTTCAACTGAAGGTGAGACATAATTTTGTGAGTATAATGAAGACCCAGTGTATACATTACAAAGAGCTAAATAAAATGCTTATTGGCCACAACATTATCACATCTAATGAAAACTAACATAAGAAATCTTGAACATAAAATAGACATTTTACAATTGATTTCATTTTTTGAGACTCTTTTCGAACATTAAGTCAAAATCCTTCCAAATTAATCACAATCTATCACAGTAATGATTAATATAATCACACAACAGTAAATCATTCTGAACCTCTCTGTTTTTTACCTGATTTCTGTTGTCATCCTCTAGTTTTTTGGACCTATTTCTGAGGTCTGAGGAGACTGTGCCAAGCTCTGCTGACTGTTGTTCTACTTTCATTTTTAGGTTTCTGATATCATCAGCCATGGAAAAACAAATTCGCTCCAGCTGGTTTTTAGCACCTTGTAAGTCCTCCATCTCTGCTCGCATCTCCACAAGTCTAAAAATTAAACTTTTACAATTAATCTCACAATATACACACAATAATGAAAAATGATACTCATTTCAATTAACTTTCATAAATGCCCTCTAAATAGAGAGCTACAGGTCCAGCCCCTTGAAAACATATTATATTAAGGACCAAATGTCTTTATTACACATTAGTAGCTGTGTATTACTGGTTATTATATGCTTTTTTTTAAAGAAAATATAGGGTCGAAAATTATAAAACTTATTTTTATCTAGAAACCCTTCTTACTTACTTTTGAGATTGCACATCTTTTTTGGCAATCAGTTCATTTTGACTACTTTTGACAGCTTGCTCCACCCCTTTTGTGTGATTGACAAGTGATGACAAGGATGTTTTCTCTTCTGCCAGCTTTTCCTCAGCATCTTTGATTCTAGCACTTAACTGGGAGATGAGTTCGTTGTTTATTTTCATGGCAGACTCCAGATTATGTCGCGAGCCCTTTTCCTCTCGCAAAACCTCCTCATTTCTACGATTTGAGGATTTGACATCACTCTGTAGTCTGAGCACCTCCTCCAGAAGGGCTCGGTTTGATTTTTCTGCAACATTTAGTCGAACTTCTAACTGGCGAATTCGTTCATCTGCATCAAAGTCAAAGTTTGGATTAATTCCAGCTGGACTAGCTTTCCGTCCGTTTAGTGGAACAAGACTTTTATCTGGTCTGGGGGAATTTATTTCAGGAAGATAGGCATACTTGGATGGAAACTGGGTGGCGACAGGTGGTCTGAAAGAAAAAAATAATTAACTCAATGGTTTTAAACAAGTCAATATGACTTGTAAATGGTGTAATTTGCTCCAACCTTTCCCATTTTTTTTTTTGATATTGTATAATTATGTTAAATAATTTCTAATCTTAATCAAAATTTAATTATTTAATCATACACTTTGAAACAATATGAGAAAATATTTAAAATCCAGATCAATTAATTAAGAAATATACAACTTATGTCTACAAATAATTATAATATTGTTGCTAACAAAATTTTTTTGGCATGCACAAATATCTTTCTTTAAAAGCAGCAAATTGTGGTCAATATGTTAAGTAATTAGCAGAGCAACAATGCTGATTAATAAGTCTACTATTTGAAATACAATAATGTTCATGTACTAAATTGTTAAATCTAAGCATTACAACTGCATGAGTATACTGAAAACAAAGCAGTTATTATATTTCTGTTACTATCCAGTACATGTATCAAGAAGAGTTATCTCCCCTTACATAGGACTAGCGGTAAGAGCTAGACTTAATTAAGACACAGATTAAGGGCAATATATGCCCTTCTTGAAAATTTACCATGGCATTCAGCAGATGATATTTTTCAAAAAAAGTAACCAACAAACAAAATATAACCCATCACATTCTTTTCTAATCTCTAGAGCTGCTCTACCTGATTTGTACAGGAAATCATATAAAGGACACTCATCCATCAACATCCATTGACATCTGCAATTTTCTTTCTAAGAGTTTCATTTTTCTTTTCTTGCCTAAACTATAGTACATATGTACTTACACAATCAGGAAAAACATCCCCAGTTGGATGAAATACACTTCTTTATATATATTTTTTTTTTTTAATTCTTCAAGGGCACCTGTTTTACCCATATTTTATTCAACTACTCCCCGACAGGTCACCACTATTAGAGATTGACCATCGATACAAATTGGAAAGATTTTAAACAAGATCGTTAACTGAATCTTTAAAAGGCAGATTTTTTAATTACCCCAAGGTAACTGATCTTCCTAAAATTCTACTGAAAATTCTTTAAATTTTTTATCAACTTTTTGATATATATTTTGCAGACAGAGAACAAGAGTCATACAATGTACATGAATTATGGACATGTTAATTTTAGTAAAAAGGAAATGTTTGAATTTTAATTTTTTTTTAATTTAAAAAATGCATTTTAGATTCAAACATATCCTATAAACTTAAGCTTATTTCAAAACATCTTTTTTTTCAAATATGAAAAAAAAAATCCACTAAGATCTTTGTTTAAAAAATCCTGTTCTCTCTATGAGGTAACCAAATTTCCAATCCCTCATGTATTCCATTATATAGCTGTCTTTTTAAAATACATATTCATTTCATGTCATAATTCCATTTGTAATTCAGGCTCATAAAATATGTAAGCAAGAGAACTTGTCAAGGCTAAACAGACTGAATCTAGTTCTGAATATATGCGAAGGTTTTTTTTCATTTCCACCCAGAACAGATTTGACTTAAATACAAATGCTACTTAAGTTTGAAAAAATAATTAGAAAAATATATCATCTGTTATAATCTTTTGAAAGCTAAATATAGAACATTGTCAGACCTGTAAGGAGGTGGGGGAGTGGGGAACTCTGTATCCCCCTCGCTAGGACTCTCCTCCCTGGGCTGACTAAAGCTCCATCGTCGATTCATTATAAATCAGACAATTAACTTAATTACACTTCATCCTCTACCAATGTCTATCTAAGTTCCATTTGTTAATTTTAGTCTAAGCAAAGCTTGCTATGGTGACCATATAATGTTTCAGGGGGAGCTTTTTAATTATTCATGGGTATATTGACAGCTTTTAACTTTCAATTCATTATGTATAGTAAGCAAATTTAAAGTCAATTGCTAATTGAGGAACAAAAATAAAGTAATCAATGTTCTTACAAGTCAATATAGTTTGCTTTTGTCAAGTGACAATTAAAGTACGAATTTGTGTCTCTAAAGATTCCATTGAGTACTTAAAGAAGAAAAGGAAATAATATACAGACTCCCATATTGTTGGTGTCTATAAAGAGAGAGAACGAGAGATTATATATATGTATACATAAGCTTAATTAACAAATTTCAGCCAGCTCCAGCATAATGTAAAGCATACATGCCTCAATAAATAGATAATTAATTTTTTCTTGAAAATGTAGGAAGTGCATGTCTCTCCAACTAAGAAAATAAAGCATATATATCTATGTACAGTTTCAAAAAATGAATTCATTGATCACCCAGGTATTGAAGGAAAAAAGCAATTATTATTCCTACCATTGTTTGAATTGAGTAGACTTTATGAAACAATGTACCTTAATACAAAATAAACTGGTCTTATTAATTTTTTTTCTGTATGTTAGGAACTAATAGAAGACAGTAAATAAAGAAAAACCCACCGAGCAAACAATTAATTAAGTGCACATAATTTCGCATGTATGAAGAAAAGGCTAGGTACATGTATATAAATATGGAATACTTTAATGATCATAACCCTCAGAATAAAGCATACTTCTCAATTTGTCATTACTGCATCAAAAGTGTATTTAAAAAAATCACCTTAATAGTTTAAAGAAATATTAAAACAAAAAAAAAATGGTTACATGAAATAATTACTGCAGTATGTGTTAATCTAATGTGTGGCAACACTGTTGGTATGTGTGTATGTGTGTTAATCCAAACCAATAGATGTATAATTGTTTCTAGGAAAGGTTCACAATATTACCTTGTGAAGGTCACCTCAAAAGATCAAATAAAAGGAAAGGAGGTGAAAGGTTAGAATAGCTAGCATATATTTGACCTTGAACTTCGACCCTTACCTGCTGGACGCTACAGGCTGATGTCTGGGTAAGAAATAAATAGGTTTATATTCCACCACAGAACAGGCTCATACTTAGCTCAGTCTTATATATCTTGTGTTTTAGGTTAGTGTGTATTAACAATTTATCTCAATTTTTGTTGAAGTTTCAAATCTACATTAAGTCACCAATGCATTACCCCTACTGTTATTTTTGCATGTCTTAACACAAGGGGCAGAAAGGCAGAGATAAGTTACATAAGAAACCAGTACACCCTTACTTAGGCAACACCATTATACCCCCCAAAATCTATTAAAAAAAAAATTTCTCACTTCAAATACCATTTATTACAATTCTTATCAGTATGTATTCTAGCATAATGAAGGGTAAGTAATGTTTTGTGTTAATGCTTGGGAATTTAGCATGTGTGAATATCACAGAACTACCACAATATAACCTAAGGTGAAACTGTAGAAAAAGCACTGAATTTTATCATTTTTATTGCTACAATCAACAGAAAAATGTATTTAAGCCCCGACATGAACTAGAATGAAAGTATCGATCCATACTGCATGTCTCAATTGTACTCTAGAAAACTTGGTCTCGAGCTCTATTGATGAAAGGCTTAAGTCTCTTTCATATAATTCAACAATCCTTTGAAAAATGTTTTCATAACCTAGCACAAATCAACGGCATCTTGAAAAGTTAATCTATAAAGGTAATCAATAGCCATCATCTATCTCTGCTTGATCACCACAGTTTTAACATTATTATTTGAAAAAGTGTAAACCTAAATCAAACACTGGCTGAAATAAATTTCAAAGAAATCAGTCTTCAAGTAAATTTTGATACATGTACAACCTAAATCAATTAATACATGTTTTGAATTTATCATACTAGAGAATATTCTCTGTCTATTCAATTAATTGCTACATGTGTAAAACACAAGTCAGTCTTACATCTTAAAGTACATGTATTACTTATTGTTCATGCAATTCATTAGTTTAAACTTGTAGCAGGTGCAAATCCAGGATTTGGTTAGAGGGGGTGCTATTAGATGACGAGAGGTCTGGGTACCCCCAAAGTTCCTAGGGGATCAAGGACAGTGACTGGTGGGGGGCCTGGGATCGAAGCCTCTGTAAGCTCCTGATAATCAGCAATAAGAATACGGAACCAGCATTAATGACGGTTATTAAATTATGTATACCTTACCCAGTATGATGTACAACAGTGAAAACTACATTCTAAGTTGTTTTTTTTTTTTTGTTGTAGAGGGGGCGCATTTTGGGAGTGCCCCCACTAGAATTTGCACCTGTTTAGAAGGGGCCAAATATGTTTATACTGATACATTGCACAAACTCTCCGACAGAGCTGTATGTCACATCTTCAACTTTGGAGCAAGTATAAGAATTGGAAAGGTTGGGTAAATTTCACCAAATTTTAATTGGTTCATACATTGTTTTCTATGATCAAAGGACAGGCTTGCATAGTCATCTTCAAGTTTTTCAGAAATACTGGAATGTCTTCACTATCAGTAAAAAATGTTTTAATTAAACTTTATCATATATAAGTTACTATAAATTACTGCTGTATAAATATACAGTAAAAAAATATATATTGTGAAACAGTGAAGAATATGTTTATTTTGCACAATTTACTATAAATTCCATGTGTTATAAACCAAATATATTAAATTTAAACACAAATTCTAAGTTTCCATACTCTGAAAGCCCACTGTACATACAGTTACCTTTCCGTCTTTGACCCCCTTCTCACACGATAATCCTCAGGAGTAGCCTCCCTTGGTAGTCGGGCCGACACCACTGTCGCTTCCTTTGGTTTAACATACTGGGAGGGATTGTGATAAAGCTTTTTCCACAATACACTGTTTTGCATTCTTTTTATAATGTCACAACTTCCTTTTCATATTTTGTTACAGAAAATTCACCTTAGTGACAAAAGATGTATACATCCATAATAGCTTTTAAGAAGGACTTTAAATGCCAATATGCATACTGACTCCTTAAATGAAAACTTTGTTCTAATATTCAGTCAATATTACCATTAAAATATTCATACAGGCAACTAGATTGGTAGACTTCTTATTTTCCTTTGATATGTAAAATGATAAAGTCAAAAAATTCCTATACCTTCCCCTAGATGGTACAGCTAATAAAAAAACATGACACTTTACAATAAGTTCTGCTTCAACAAGGAATTGAGGAATTCATCCAAAAAGAATAACAAAACAGTCACTTAAATTCTGTATCCAACATCACAATCAAAATAATTTTGGCAAAGTGTGACTATCTCTCTGAAGAAACTAGACCTGATATGTAAACCCAGTATATGGTACAGATCAGACAACCTGCAACTATGGACACAGATACATGAAAATCATCGGAGATAAAGCACAAAAAAATCTCTGTCAATAGATATTGTTTTCGTGATGGGGTTTTCAGGTGTGATTTCAGCCAATCAATGATGTTCCGTATCAGTTATCTAGTAAGTCCTCCTCTGGAATATTATAATCACCTAGCTTATTGACTTCATTGCAGCATCAAATACGGAAACCTCTTATCCACGATCGGAAAGGAATAAAAAGGTTTTGCCCAAATAACAAGGACGATAAGAGTTTACAAATTAATCCCTACAACCTAGTCAATATTCTTTAAGGGTCCTAACATAAAAAATTTCAAAGACATAGAATATGTTTAAGGTCGTTGCCACAAATGGATTGATTGATAACTGTGTGTTGTACATCACTACTGAAGTGTTATTCTTAAAATCAATTACTGTCACAGGCAATATTATGCAAAGCTCATTCCTGTGAAAAATGTCATAACAGGAATTGCATTCGGCTTGTTTACTGTTGTTGTTAGAAACGGAAAAGGGAAAAAAATCCATACTGCAAATTTATTTCTAAATCAACTAACTGGAAGATGATGTTATTGTTAAAAATATGCTAGTCTATCTTGAAAGAAGGGCTTAACATATTGTAAATGCTCCTATTAATTGTGTAGTGACTTAATAATGCAAAGAATTTTAGCTACGAGTCAAACAGAAAAAAAAATCTATATCTGTATAAATGAGGGCATCATAAAAAATTTAATACATGCAAGTATTCTTCCACAGTGCAAAGTTTTGTTTGATTTTGACAATGGATCAAAACTGATAACCATTAGGAGCTTAGTACACATCATATCTGTCCTTCATTCCTGGGTCTGCAATGGATCGCAAGGGCTTAGATCATTTCAAAAAAAATTTTTTTAATAACACTTAAAATCAATTTGAATTTATATATACTGTAAAATAAAATTAAAAAAAAATGTGTAAATTTTCTGACCTTCACCTCTCCTATGACCTTAACCTCACACTTCATGGATTTCATCATACACACATTTTTGGTGAGAGCATTTCAATATTGCTAGTAATGACTTAATTAATATATATGTTACCATAGTAAAATATCTCAGATATCTCATATGTCACGCATTGCAAGCACAGCACAGCAATCTACAAGTGATATGGATCTAATGAAACTTAGGAGGGGGATATGTATTCCAAACCAAAACAAAAGAAATTCTATTAATAAATTTAGCTGGGAGATGGTATCGCCATCATTACTTAATTTTTTTATAGAGTTGGAATCCCGTGATTTGTGACTTATACTAGCTGTCTTTGGGTGAGATATAATCCCATTGATTTTTCAAACTTTGGATGATTGTTTATAAATGTTTAAATTCAATATCATTGAAATTAAAGCTTCATAAAGTAAATCAATCCCCTTCGTGCTTTTCCCCCCATTAGAACAGTCAGATGTAGCCTACTAGCTGATAAAGGTACTGTCTCTTCAAACAACTGCCTTGCACATGTTTCTACCTCATCAAAATGTATAATTGTGTGCTTAAGGTAAAGATCTAGTAAATGAGCTTAGACTTTCGTTTGGGTGCTAGATCCATTTTTGATGTCAAAATTAAAACAGGTTTTCTTTATTTTGCATTGAAAATGACAGTTAAACCCCATTTTTTCCCTTAAAACTGTGTTTACATAAAAAATTATGCCCTCATACACCTTATTTGACCAAGCTTTAGTTTTTAAGCATCATATCTATAAGAATCCCATTTCCCAAAGGATGATGTGCTACACGGGCCCCTCAGTAGATTGACAAACAATGAATATCCTAATTTTTTGCATGTAACTTAATGTTTCGTATTGTCCCACCTTCACCGAATACCACTTTTACTGGAAATAAGATCATATGGAAAAAATTTGTCTTTATTTCAGGTGGAAATAAGATCATATGGAAGAAATTTGTCTTTATTTCAGGTACAAATAAGATCATATGGAAGAAATTTGTCTTTATTTCAGGTAGAAATAAGATCATATGGAAGAAATTTGTCTTTATTTCAGGTGGGGGTACACTGTTTACATTCAATTTCCATTCACTTTCGAAAGCCCTTAAAATACATGAGTGCAAAGAGGTACATATTTCAGTGTGAAATGCTCAAGCAACATATAAGTCATGATTTTATTTAGAAAATTTTAGAAAATGTGAGCTTCAAATCTGTGTACTCCAGTCGATCCCTTTAATTTTTTTTTTTTAGAATACGTATCATGTGATACATGCTTACATCTCACATGTGGTCCACGCTACTTGTCAGCTCAATACATATCATTGCAATTTTAGCTTCATAAACATATTAAGTGGATAATACATATCTATAGCTTTGTTAAGTGTTGATTATAAAAAAAAATTATAATTACAAGTATCTACAATAAAACATGTTATTAATGAATTAAATGAATAAATGTGTTAACTTTGGGAACTTGTGTCTCACTATAATAAGTCTTTTTGACTTCCATTCAGGTGTTGGTAATGGTCAATGTCAGGGTTGGGTAGTCAGGACATTTAATTTTTAATAAGAGGTTACATTTAAGTTTCCTTGCTGACAGGAGATAATCAGCTGGTGGAAGCACTACTGGGAAAAGGACTCTACTGTTACAATATCAATCAAATATAAATAATGGTCATTAGTCAATATATGTAGTACATTCCTTGTATTTGACATATATAGGTATTTTGTACATTTACTAAAGAGAGATAACTCTACAAAAGTTGTAACTTGTTTGTTTTTTTCCTTTACAGATAATGCAAATTTATATGATTTTATGATGTTAACAATGGTCATGCTGATAAAGTATGCAACCATGTTTTGCAGAGTCTGTACATGTATCAACACTATGACTTACGTATACTAATTTTTTCATGAATTCAACATCAGAAAAAAACAATTATTATTTGAGGATCACAACACATTCCTGCTTCCCTGCTAAGTTAGTAAACACTCTGTGCATACTACGATCAAATCAAATATGCATTAATATTTAAAGATTTAATGGGCTGTGACTGCAACTGCACGTGTTTATGTTTATAATTATTCTTGTCTAAAAACATTTGACAATAATATATTGTCTGAATTAGTGCTAAAGCAAAAAAAGCAGTCACATTACTACAACTTTAAACATGCTATTATATTCTGATTTCTTAAACATCAAAGTAGAAAACGCATATTTACTGAACATCTCTCCACAAGTATGGATAGAAACTTCCATAAGTACTGTAAACAACATATAAAAAATACTTTCTGTCATCTGTTTTTTACATGAAAACGTCTTTGATGTGGTAAATGTTAAATAAAGAATATACTTTATGTTCAGCTTGATTATCTTGCAAAAATTATGCTTCACAAGCGAAAATAATTGGTGCTAAAACACTTTACCTGTCATTCCAGACCTGTTCCGCCATGTTGTTTATGGGTATCGAAGGAGCCTTGTTATCTGTCGTGCCTTTTGATTGGCCAATACACCGGAAGCACGTTTTCAGAAATGGCTGACAATAACAAGGAGGACCATGTGGATGATGAAATGTTTGATGATGACGACGAAATGGAAGACATCGAGGAGGAAGGAGAGGACGAAGAAGATGAAGAAATGGGAGAAGAATCAGGAGAGGCTAAAGTTTATCTTCCTGGAGACCCGATAGCCGAGGGGGAGGAGTTGGTGTTTGATGAAACTGCCTACGTTATGTATCATCAAGCTCAAACTGGTACTGTTTATCAATTTATAGTCATTACTGAAGGTCTTAGCTCTATGTACAAATTATGTATTTAGGTTTTGGTCTTCATGCATAAGTTTCATGCATTACGCAGTGTGTGTACACAATTTTTAAGAGCTTTAAGGTCCCGTCCAAAGATTTATACCTGAATTCTAACAAAATTCGGGGTTTTATTTTTGAAAAACAAAATTCGAGATTTTATTTTGAAAACTTAACGAGGATGGAGAATGGAGAGGAAATGCTTGAAAATCGTCCCAAAACCTTTCATCTAAGAATGCATGAAGGTAAGTTTTAAAATTTGTACAAATTACAGAATATGCAAGACATTTCAGGCTTCTTACCACGTAAGCTTTAATCTTTATCTCATAGAAAATGGAACTGGGTATAGTTATTGATGCAAAATTGGTAAGTTAGAAAGTAATCATTTTGGCCAAAATTTCTGTCGTACTCATCATCAGAGTGACTGTATCAAGAATTATATATTCGCCATATTGCACCATTCCTGTGTATGGCCACAAAATGTAAGTATTTAACAAAAAGTAGGTAAAAATAGCTACCTGGAGTAGGTTTAAATACTTAGGTAGCTACAAGTTATGTAGATAGAAATAGTCTATGGACTGGACCTAAAGGTATTCTGGTTTTAGACAGAGACATAAATAACATTATTTATGTGTCTGTTTTTTAACAATAAATACCGGTACATGAATTAAAATATAAGGCCATTCCAAGTTTTTTTTAATGTTTAGAGTCCATGTGCGCCTTGGTTTTTGACACCCCATATCACAAAAAAAAAAAATCATGAGTTCTCAAATTTAATATTTAATATTCTGGTCAAAATCACTGAATTCTGTCAATTTCTCAAAATATTTGTCTACAATATATCATATTAGGAATATTGTAAGCATTGAATACCTGGATTTTGCTGAAGAATGGGTTTTATCTACAAGAAAAATGGATTAATAAAATGAAATCCTTTGAGTGACATCATTTTTAGGACTATAAAGTCTGTGTTTTATTTTTTGGTTTGTGTGTTTTTTTTGCAAATAGGTAGGTAGGTTTTTGAAAGATGGGTGGACGCTAAACTGAGAAAAAACTTGGAATGACCAAACTACATGTATGAAAATATAACTTGCCTTCGTCATCTATGTAAAATTATATTAATCACTTCTATACTATTCTTCATATCAATGTTTTAGGGGCACCCTGCTTGAGTTTTGACATTCTATCAGATACACTTGGTGACAAGAGAGAGGAGTTTCCACTTACCTGTTATGGTGTTTGTGGGACACAGAGTGCAAAAGGACAGCAAAACCATGTAATTGTATTAAAGATGAGTAACTTAAATCGTACCTCAAAACCCAAATCTGATGAAAATGAGGAGGAGGACAGTGACTCTGAGAGTGATGAGGATGAAGACAGCAAACCTGAATTAGAAACAGCTCTAGTTAAACACACAGGATGTATCAACAGAATCAGGGTACATTATTTAAAATCTGAAATGAGAAAAAATATTTTTAACATTATATTCATAAGGTATAAAAATTTAACAATATGTGTGGGATTCCTATTTACCTTTATGAATATTGTAGAATATTTACTCTTGTAGCTTGGGATCTCAATTTTCTTGGGTATCCCTCCCCAATGACTGTACAATGTTAAGGAATTTGATCTATATGATCTTTCCCCAATGTTATTTTGTCCCAAAGAACCTGCAAATTTTTATCAATCTATAAGAATTGACCCCAAGAATTTAAATTTATTGTACAGTAATAAAAACTGTCTGGTTTTCATTAAGGCAACAACCATAGGAGATAAGAAAATAGCAGCAACATGGTCTGAGAAAGGGAGAGTACACATCTGGGATCTGACACGCCCCCTAAATGCTGTGAATGACTCCAACATCATGTCTACATATGTAAGAAATGAGGAGTCACCACCACCAATGTTCACATTTAAGGGACATCAAGTGGAAGGATTTGCTCTAGACTGGTCTCCAACAACACCAGGTAATTCATTATTTAAATGGTGCTTCGATTAAAAACCATACATTAATGAAATATTCATAACATGTTATTAACATATCCGATTCACACGTGTCAATGATGTCATTCACAGCCATCTGTTTTACAAAATGTGCATTTTTTAATGATGTATGATTAAAAACTTTTCCATACATTATGAATTTTTTTTAAAATTTAATTTTGTTCACTAAGTGTGCTAAATGCAAACATTATCTCTAACATCTTGAAGGAAATTTATCCAGATTTCTTACAGATGTTTAACAGAACTTAAAAACCTCACCACAAATTGATGAGCAATTTAACAAAACATCACTCTTTTGACTAGGTCGTCTAGCAACAGGAGACTGTAACAAAAATATTCATCTCTGGACGTTGAAGGACGGAGGAACCTGGCATGTTGACCAGCGTCCATACAATGCCCACACTTCATCTGTAGAGGACATACAATGGTCACCAAATGAAGCCAATGTATGTATCAAAAATTTAGTTTTATTTTGTTTTTTTTCTTAAACCTCAACACTTTTTAAAAATTAAACAATGACATTGTAGAGATTAGGATCTTATCGATTTTTATACGATAAGCTTTGTTTGTTAAGCAGTACTCTGATATCTTTACATTTTATAAAAATTTTATAAAAATGGATAAGAATAATTTAATCAAGTATAATTGTACACTTATTGCTGTATATTATTTTGATAGGTGTTTGCTTCCTGTTCAGTGGAAAGAACTATCAGAATTTGGGATGCTCGGGCAGCCCCGTCTAAGGCTTGTATGATCACAGCCACAGAGGCCCATGACAGGGATATCAATGTCATTCACTGGAACAGAAAGGACCCCTTCATAGCCTCTGGAGGAGATGATGGGGTTATCAAGATCTGGGATCTGAGGCAGTTTCAGGTTCGTCTTGAACATCAGAATCACTAACAACAACAAAAAAAATTCAAAAATTTCAAAGTAATTAAAATTCTTTAAATTTATTTAACAGAAAGGAAAGCCAGCAGCTACCTTCAAACACCACACGGCTCCCATCACGTCCATTGAGTGGAACCCTAATGACAGTTCTGTGTTTGCAGCCTCTGGTTCAGATGACCAGATCTCCATCTGGGACTTAGCTGTTGAAAAAGACAATAGTGAACCCAGCTCTACTAGTGGGGAGGATCCAAATGTTCCACCTCAGTTACTGTTTATACACCAGGGACAGACAGACATTAAGGAGATTCACTGGCACCCTCAGTTACCTGGGGTTATCATCAGCACTGCTCACAGTGGATTCAATGTGTTTAGGACTATCAGTGTGTGAATACTAACTATACTAATTCTGCTACATGAAAAGAAATTGTAGGCTTCATCTTTAGTTTTGTAATTATTTTTTTTTAAATGTACCGTAGGTACCTTTTTTCATAATTTTGAAAATGTTCTGTTTTACTACTCTAATATTTTTTTCTTGCTTAAGACTTTGAATTCTGAACAGTAAAGGACTTCATAATATTAAAGAGAATAACCATTTCGTGTTCAAAAACATGGTATAATTTGTGTATAGTGTTTTAATGATGCCAAACTGAATGCATATGCATGTACATGTACCATTATATGTAAATGTATATAATATTTGGATACTGTAGATCAAATTTTCGCAAAATCTTGATTTTTGCAACATAGTTACATCTATTTGATATTTATAATCCAAATGAAAAAATAAAAAGTTTTGGTAATTGTTGTACATGTATATGATCAAAAATTATACAAATATACACAAGAATGACATTTTTACAAGAAGCACATTTAGCAAAAATAAAGCTCTTGCAAATGAAAATAGATTTACAGTATCCTTCTTCATAGTACTATTTGGTCCATGTTTTTTATAGCTTCATTATAACTCCCCTAGTCAAAATTTCCCACAGCTTTTGTCCTTTATTTAAAGAAAGGTTTTAAATGATACAATATACTTTCAGAAAGTATAAAGTTGGGTATTGAATGACCACCTTTAATGTATTTTGGTTGATGTATCAAAAAAGGCTGACAATAGCAATAAATCTCTACATGTTTTATTATTTTTATTAGCATCAGTGTTAACAATATTTGGGATTTGTAGATGGATTATTCATTTTTATCACAGTCCAGCTGTTAAGATCAAAACTTGTTGGAAGTGCAGAGGCACTATTCAGATGCATAACCTCTCACTGGTTACCCCACAAGTAAAGTTTACAATACACAACTTGACCAGGAGCCAGTAATTTACCACTGTATATTGAGGGCACTGGCTATCTTTTCTACTCCATGATATTGTGTGTGGAGCATGGCTCTAGCTTTGTCTGTGTCCATACCACCTAACCAGTCCTCATAGATTTCTCTCACTCCAGTCCACAAGTCTGGCTGAACACAGGGCACAGCGGTATAACTCTCCTTCACTTTCTGTAACAGTTCTGCATTAGTCTGACCCTCAGCGGGACGGATCTGACCCCCACCGTTTACACATCCTGAGGGACATGCCATGATTTCCACAAAGTCGTAGGTCATTTTGCCTCGCTTTATCTTCTGGACAATGTTTTGGATGTTCCTGAAGCCATACGCAAGAGCCATTCTGAGAGGTTTCTTACCCTCAACTTCAACAATCACCTCCTGAAAGTCCTGATTCCTGTAGAAAAATAAACATTACAATGTTCAATAATCTGCACTCAGAATATGTATAAATCAGACATCATAGTAAAATGTCAGAAACATAATTTTCGTACATTTCTTTTTGTCATCAAATTTCTCTTCCAGAAAGTTCCCTTTAGTCTTGTACTCAGGTGAACTAGCTATGAATACTGTATACAGGGTTATTTTCATCCCCTGTTATTTTTGGCCTTTCACATTTGTAAACCATTTTGCTCCATTTTCAAATAGCCCAGACACAGTTGTGTTAAAGAGATAACTCTTGTCTTCTTTGAATTTGCCCAGTTTTAAATTTACCCACTTGCAACAATATTGAGCACAGTCAAGGCTTGGTGGTCATAGGTGTTTGATCATTAACCCAAAGGTCTCTGATTCAAGTCCCGCTGTGGGCACTTGATGTTGTGTGTTGTGTCCATAGCACTTGATCTGCATTGTCTCAGTCCACCCAGCTGTAATGAGTACGGACTTGTGCTGGGGGTTAACCTGCTATGGACTGGTGTCCCATCCAGGGGGACTCAATAACTCATCTGCTTAGGATCACAGAAACCTGGTATAAGCATGGCTTGGAGAGGGATTTTAATTTGCAATGAAGGTAAAGGGAACCAGATTAGACAGGGGGTGATAAATTACTCTGAATACTGTACTACAATGTAGTAGTATAAGAAAGCATAGAAAAAATGATGAAAATGTACTCCCCTGTTATTCTCTGCCACAGTACGCTCACTACACTTACCTGAGTGTTTTGTACTGGAGGGACTCCACTGAGGTTCCATGGATCTGAGAGACTGCATACCTCATTATGTGTTCCAGATAGCCCCCGGATCCACCCCCTATGTGACTTACCAAGCCTCCACCTGGACTCACTAATCCAGACATTCTGGAATTCAAAAGAAGTTAAACTGCACTTCACTTGGACTGACAATGGAATCCAACTCAGAAGGCTAATGAATGAATGATAAATTTCAAAACTGCTATCATTAACAAGAGGCCCATGGGCCTTGATGGTTTCCTGAGTATCACAACTTTCTCAGGGTATGACTGAAAATTTACAGTTGGGGGGGGGGGGGGATTCTATAATCATTATTATAGTCATGCAGCTTGTCTCCTAGAATTTCAGGAGTAAAGAAAATAAGATACACTGCATAATAAATTTCAATACATGACAAACTAAGCCTGCCAGTTTCTTTGAACACTTTCTGTAGAGGGCTAGCTGCACACTATATCAAGAAAACAATTTGCCTGCTACAAATCCATGAGTAAAGAGGATTTTAAAGCTATCTTTTCAATATAAGACCAACTTAACCCCACCCAGATGGCCTGAACCATGGGCCAGGGGGTCATGAATTTTATTAGAGGGCTAGGTGGTTATTATCACCAGTTAAACAGTTTGCCTGCTAAATGCCCATGAGTAGAGAAGATTTTTAAAAATCTAATACATTTTCAATATTTGACCAACTAAGTCCCATCCTATGGCCTAGCTGAATCATGGATGATGAACGAAGCATGACGACTGACAAAAAAAGATAGCAATAGGGAACCTATGTTACTCAATTGACCTAAAAATTAAATGAAGGGAAAATGTCTGGTCAATTTCCTTAAGGATAAATAACACAAACTTTTTTCAGAAATCAGCAATATATTTCATAGATTTATATTCAAATAGGTACTCTGAATAATGTTTGTCGTGTAAAGTGGAATTTTGTAAGGTTTTCTCACAATGTTAAAATTAAGTGCAAAATTTTGTATAGAATTTATAGAACCCAAAACAAAGTCGCATATTTTAGCACCAAAGAAAACTTATGAATTCCTTATATTTTAGGGATTTCTTATTAATGTCATTTCTATTCAAAATCAGTCAAAAAATATATATCAATCCAGGTATCATATTTTTGTTTGTGTTATGTACCCTTAATTTTGGTGTTTATATTTATGATTGTACAACAATATTCCCAACCAGGGATCGACATTAACGGTTGTCCAATTGCCCGGGACAAGTAAATTCTCAGTCCGGGCAAGTGAAACTGTCAACTTACTTGTCCGATAGGGCAAGTGAATTTTTCTGATAGAAATGTATATTGGTATCTATTTTACATTAATTATAAATAAAACAATAGATTGAACACTTGATTTCTGCTAGATGCGTGACTGACATTGCTCCCTTGGATTTCTAGATTATATCATTCATTAAAAATCGGGTTCGTTATTCTTTTTTATTTCATGTTAAATACGCTCTACGTATTACAACTTTAACTACTTAATTCATTCACACTGAAAGAATATTACATGACCTATCCTGATCAAGATATGTATGTTTCATAGCAACTATCTTCCTTAGCGTTGCATCTATCAAAATTCACAAAACAAAACGATCCTACCCAAAATGATTTTTTATTAAAAAGGAAATGGATGGTTATTGATGCATTGCAGTGTGTTTACAGATTAAATTGACAAGAAAAGTGGTAGTATACATTTATGTCCAAACGTACCATCTAAATTTTTCCAGGTATCTCAACTTGCCAGATTTATAGTAGTGTATCTGTTCACACTTTTTCTTATCATAATATTTACGACAATAAATTATTTTCATATTTGGGCAACCAAACTTTGCATTCGGACGAGTCAAAATTTGAGATCACTTGCCCAAAGGGCAAGTGAATCTGAAAGTTAACGTCTATCCCTGCCAACATGACACATAAAAGATAAATACAATTATATAAGGACGTTCGATCCTGAGCTTTCGAGCAGATTTTTGCCTGGACCTTTATCTCTGAAATTCTGATTAATATTTTAGTTCTCACATTCAGTTTGGATTCTACAATGCAAATTAAACTATATTCAATTAAAAACCCATGATTAAATTCCGTACAAAAAGCATTCAGCGAGGAATTATATTTTGTGGTGGTAGGATTTTTATAAGAAAATGATGAATTTTTCTTTTTTGAATTATTTACAGTACTGTTAACTTTGGATTCCTATTTTTTCAATGCATGCTGCACACAGAGTTATTTTGTGCAGTGAAATGTTTCATGCTGGTCCTGAAATATTTATTAAATTAACTTTTATGAATTCTATCATCATATTGTGACAAATATAGCAAATATATTATGGAAGTCCTGGGAAAAATGGAGCTGATTTTAAGACTTTTTTTAGTAATATCTAAAAATTTATATCATAGACCCCCACTTTTGATTTTATTTTTCTGAATATATAAGATAACTTTGATCATTCAGCTTTGGCTTGCAAACCCACAAATACATGCTGTATAAAACAAACTTGTCTGAGCATTTTAATGCAAAAAAATTACATCAACTGAAGATTTTCTTTTTTATTTCTCATGAAAACCACTTCTTTCATCAATCCCTTAATGCTAGTTAGAACCAGTTTTTCAAACCATAAAATGTCTTTCTTTCTTTGTCGGTATGGGAATTATCAGTTGCAGCTATTGCAGAAAAAATTTACAAACACAGAAAGTATTGTTACGATATTGTTTAAATAAAAAGCAGAAGAAATATAAATGGATAATTTTACTACCGGTAGGTGTCAATCTTCATGAGATTTTAATTTATTAGCCAGTCAAAAGGTAATATTGTCCTGGTTAGCATCAATTTCCTGTTAGTGTTAATTTCCCTGCACATTGAGCATGAATTATTGATAAATGTGGAAAAAAATAAATATTTTTATTTTCAGCAATATGAAAGAGAAATGGAAACTGTCAACTTTGAAACATGATTTGTTATCGATGATATGATTTCATTGTCATAAATTTTTCATCAGATTAAAATCAGTTCAATGAATTATAGCAATTTCATGAAAGCTGATACAAAAAAGCATTAGACATTTTTCATAATTTTATATGTGATGAATTTATCATTAATGTGTATTCCATTAATTAAAGCTTTCAAATTGCCATGGTTCAGACCTGCTAACAATATACATTTATTGACTGGGTTCGAGGGCAACATGCATTTTGTTGGACCCAAGAATCAAACTGTTTGCCTGAGGCCGTTAGGCCGAAGGCAAACAATTTGGTTCGAGGGGTCGACAAAATGCATTTTGCCCAAGAACACAGTCAACTAGAACTGTCCAAAAGGGACAAATACCTGGGTTTTTCAGAGAAGGTACCAAATCACTAATGTTTTCTAGATGTGAAAGGCGTTCACAATTTGCTTAAACATTTAGAGTGAAAATTTAATTACTCATTATATTTTTTTTAATGAATGAAACTAAGGTGCAGCCTAATAAAACATCAATACTAATAATTTCAGTGTTTTTTATTATTGAAAAAATAGTTTGCAACTATCTGTTATCTTTGTGAGACATGACACTCTGCAAATTGATTGTTGAAAAAAAAAATCGTAATTAATTATACAAAATCAAATTGATCTTAATACCTTTA